AAGCAGCGATTCTCTTTCTTAAAAAAAAAAAAAAAAGCCCCGCTCCTGAAAATATGAAGAGTTCCTTTATACCACCTTCTGGTTCCTTCTCTAGCTGTTGTAATGGATTCTGAAGCTGTTAGCTTTCTCAGATTGACAAAGAATATAAGCCTGCTGGTGTGGAAGACAGTTTGTTCTGTCTCGTGGAAAGTTCAGCCTTTCCAAATAACAGATAGGGATTGTCTAGTGTGACTTCAGGCTCCTGTCCAGATTAGGTTCTTATGCGGGAATCCTTTTTGTTTAACAAGTAACTAAATAAATAAAAATTGAGGTTCATAATCTCAGGGTTATATTCACAGTCTACACTGGATACAGCTGATAGGATCTCAAGATCGGTTTTTCCTGTGGCTTTGTTGTGGAGATTCTCTGCTTATAAAGCTGTTTTGTGCACAGAGTATCTTCAGCTGACGTCTGCATCACTGCTTCACTTGTCTTTGTAATTTACAGACAAGTTGTTGTGTTGATTTTAAATATTCAGCAGTAACCTGTTGTCACCAGGCATCTCTTACGATTACTCGAGACATCTTTCTCTAAGACCAGCCTTACATGCAAGAGCAGAGGTTTCAGTCACTTCTGCGTTCTCACATTGACTTCAGTTCAAGCTCAGATAAAATGAACAACATGCCGGAAAGTAAGAAGAGTCTGACTGTTCTCATCTCACCAGCCTTAACCCGATAAGCAGCAGTTTGAAGGGACAATCAGGATTTACCTTTTATGTCCGTCCTTTCTGTGCTTGTTCCAGCAAACCTTCCACTCTTCAAGGCTGAATAACTCTAGATGACAAAGAACTAGAGCTCATGGACAATGATTGCATCACTATTCATTTCCTCCTTGTAGCATCTTGTCTGTATTTTTTTCAGGAACTGTTCTCATGACTGTTTTCATTGTACAGCAGGAGCCTGGAAACTCTTAAGAGGTGTTTTCTCATGGGAGAGAATAACGATTCATTTGCATTTAAAATTCACTCTGTAGTTGCTCAAACTGGGTAGAGTACAGCAGTTCTTACTTTGGTAAAAATGTCATGTTACTTAATTGCCAGGGTAGAAAAAGCCAAAAGTTCAGTATTTTAAAATGTTTGAAGGCTATATCATGAATTGAAAAACAGCTAACAATGTAGCCTTTGTATATTGAATCTATTGAAAGTTCAGTACATGTTTCTCTCTGCATACAACTTCAGCTTTTCTTAAGAAAACAAACAAAACCCCAAAGAATCCCACCCTCATACAGAGACTGTCTTCGTAGATGCTAGATGATTTTTGAATTTGTTTTAATAAGAGATCACTTAAATATTTTTAAATCACTTATTTCTACTTTAGTATGCAAAATTTTGTTTGCTGTTTTTAATAGTGGTTAAGAATATTTTATAGGAGGTGAGGTATTCTAGAGATTTTCTAATCTGTATTAGAAAAAGAATCCTAACCTTTAAGTCACGTAAACCTTAAGATTTTGTTTATAGTCTTTGCTTTGTAGGCAACTGGAGGAAGAGTAGGCACATCAGAAATAAGCGGAAGGAAGATATTTTTGAGGAGGCATAAGAAATACATTTGGCACATGAGTGATGGTGTTGTCTTGGGTCCATGAGACAGTAAGGAGATGAGCAGGGTAAAAAGCATGGAAATGAGAATACAGAAGAAATGAGCAACAGAAGAGAGACGTAATGCATGTCCACTTAATAAGAAATGCTGAAATAAACTTTGTAGTGTGTAGTAGTGTATTAAGAAATAGGGTGAACGTTTTAAAATGCTCGTCCTGATGCTTTGCCGGAGCTGGCAGAGCGTCCTGGTGTTCTGTCAAACGCCCTGCGGCAGAAACGGAGCCGGGTCCCTCGGCAGGGGTAGCCGCCGCCCTCACCGCTGCCATCTGGTGGAAGAAGGAAAACCTTCCTTGCCTGGGCCTCCTGCGTTGGAAAATGCAGGATTGCCAACGCTGCATATCCCTTGACAAAGAGAACCGAGTTATACGTATTGTAGCCCGTGATGACAAAATAATTCTAATTTTTCAATGAAAAGCATTCATTTTTTCAGAGGTGAATAACATATTTTTAGTATAGCCTATATTTTATCCTTATGAAGCTTTTGTGCTGAATCTGAGCTAATTAATGAATCACCTTCTCTATGGTATTGAAATTAAAATCAAAATACTATTGCTTTCTAGTGAATTCCTTCTTGCAAGCAAGGGGAAGGAGAAAGATGCCTGTCTACACTGTGGAGACAGATGTTACGCTTCTCTGTGCTCAGTGTGGGGGGGGAAGCTTCTACCATATAAATTCTATGTACTATACGCTTCTTATTTTGGTGAAGAACTTGATCATTGCTGTGAAAAACTAAGAAAAAACACATCAGAAAGGAGAGACTCCAGACTCAATCTTTACAAAGGCATTTAAATTAAAATCTGGGTTTTTTTTTCCCTTTCTCCTTTCTTTCTTGCCTAAAATCTGGATTCAACTGAAGGACTAAATGTTAACCTTGGAAGTTGAGATAAAATGGTTTGAAAGGTTTTCAGAAGATTGTGGCAGAACATATATTAAAAAAAAGAGAGAAAACGGAATAAGCAGAGACTGTTTTCTAAATGACTAAGTAGTTGTTAGTCATTGGTTTTTAGGTGAAAATGAGGAAACTGACCATGTTGCCTGTAATGGAAGGAGAATGTTCTCTTGCTACCCATATATGTACTAAATGTATGCAATAAAATAACCTAATCAAAGTGAATACTGCTTCAAAGTGGTAGCTTAACTGCTTGAAATCAGACAGAATCATCATACTGTTCTAGAATGAAATGCTATTTATGCAGGTGCAAGGAAACATTACTTTTATTTTTGCATGTAATGCTTTTTGGTACCTGTTTTGAAATGAATTCCAGAACTCAGCAGTTAACAGATGGCTTTTTGTTACTCAGAGCAGAGCTAATAATCAAAGAAATGCAGATATGGCACTTGGTTTAAAATCACATATTTGTCTCTGGAGTAGGAGGTAAAAGATAAGGAGTAGTATGAGTGTGTTCATATACAAAAAATTTACAGATTTAGTTATTACTTAATCCTTTATTAAGTAATCCTTTTTTCCTATCCAGACAAAGTCTTGAGGGCCTCTTCCTTGTGGTTTTTTTTCGACCCAATGTCTTTTGTTACAAAGATCTTCTCTGTAGTCCTCTATTTCCTTTCTTGATCACTTCTCTGAATAAATTCCATGCAAAATTGTTGTTTCTATACCTCATGGCTCCTATTTGCTTTCCAGAATATATAACCAAGTGACTTCTTTCCATTTTAGTCACCAGTTTAAGTGTACTGGTATGGCTCTAACCAGTTTGGATACCTCACCTCTTATTTGCAGTTGAAGTGTTTAAGAAAATTCAGCTATCACATTTGTTTTTAGGAGTTGGAAGTCCCCTTTAGAAAGTTTTAAAGGGTCAGATTTGCTAGATCTTGGACAGTCCACAGTTTAATTTTTATTCCAGGAAAATAGGAATTTGGTATGTTCTAACTGCTTTCTAACAAGCTGTACTTCAGTTAGATGATACTGTAATATATCTTTATCATAAATAATATATTTTTTATGTGTCTGGTCTAAAGACTGTATAGAGAATAATGACTAATGAAACTGAAATCAAGGCTGTAGCAGCCAGTCTGTTGGTTTTTTTCTAAGACTGGAATTTGTTTAACACAAGCTGTAGAAAGCAACCTGTACTGACTCCCAAGCTCCTATGAGCAAGGAATAGTGATGTATTTAGAATGCTTTTCAGTTCAAATACAAGTTGAGTTAGAAAAGCATTATAACATGACTGCTTGTCCTCTTGCTGTTTTTTTTTCCCAAAAAAATAAAAAGTAGTCTAGATCTCTCATCTGTGCTGCTTCTACAGTCCAAACAGCTTCATCTTTTCACCTTAGTTCTCTATCCAAAGCTGTTGTGGCGCTGTATTTCCCCTAGCATATATTTAAAGACTTTATTTCAATGTAGCTAAAGAATTTAATTTGTGAAGAGTGTTGGTGGAAGATTGTTTCACAACTTTTATGGGCTTTCTTCACTAACACAATGGAGTGAACAGCAGCACCCAGGAAGAAAACTCTGTCCTTTTGAATTATGGTTATTTCTTTATTAATGTTAACTTTGAATTTCAATTACTTGGTTATCAAGATTTGTATGAGTGCTCTATTAATAACACGAGGTCTGCTCTCTAACAATTCTGCTGAGAATAAAGAATTATTCGGTATGATGGCCTTTCAAATGGTAACGTGATTTGTCTCTTGCTCTAAATTTTGGTGAAGGAAGCCAGAGAACTGTGCTTTCAGTTAACTTGCTAACTTCTTTGTCTTTTTGAAATTGTGTACTTTTTAGAGGTATCTAGTTGCTCAGATTAATAATTAATGTAATACCAAACCATTTTTTGCTAAAAAATTTCTCTAAAAAGATAAGTGTGTTTTCTTCAATTTCAGGCACCCATTTTATGACAAATGTTTGTAGAACTCTCCTGTATTTTATCAAGGGTTTAGTAAATTGGAAGAAATTGAGTTTCCCCTCTACTGTAGGAATGGGAAAGTTAGGTCTCTGGCTGTAGGACTAGGAGAGAGTGGTGAAATGTGAATTGATTTTTCTTAGTGTGAATCAGTAAATGAACGAACTTTCCATCTTTAATGATAAACCCTTGCCCGAGTCTAAAGGCTAGGTGTGTATGTCTGCTGATCTATAGACACAACTAAACCCAGACATATTAGCTGTTTGGGTCCTTTCTCTTTCTGTGCTGCATACGTGTCTGTGTGAAAGTTTATATGGGACAGAGCTATGATTACAGACAATTACAGAGTAGGGCTGCAAGTGAGAAAAGACTTCCTGTTGCATGGGAATTCCCTTGCTTTTCTTGTGTGCTGTCATCAGGTAGGAAGAAGAGTAGCTTTATGCTGCTCTGAAAAATGATTACATCGTGGCAGTCAAGAGGGCTGACACAGACTTGGAATTATTTCATCTGAGTATGCAAAATATAGAAAAACAGTCTTGATGAGAGTCAGTTGAAGGTAAGACAAACTATTTTAAGTAATAAAGCTGTAATGTGTTTGCCTTCTTTCTTGTCATTATTTGATAGATATTTTTGTACCTGTAGTTTAATCATAATTTAAAGTTAAACTCTGAGTTAAAGACACCTTCCTTTTTCCTGAAGCATAGTAAAAGATAGTTATTTGCAATTGTCGTGAATTTTATAGGCTTCTAACATTTTACATAAACCTATGCTATGATAGTGGCAAAAGAAAAAAAAAACTATCCTTAACCAAAGGTAAAATCCCATTGAATTTCACATTTCTAAAGTTCTATAAAATTAAATGTTTTGTATGTTAGGAGTTCTGAATTTTTGGCTGCTGGTGTTTCTCATAAGTTTTTAATTACCATTAGATAGACAACTAGAATTTTTGGTGGAAAACCTGTCTTGAGTGGTTTAATATTTCAAGAATTTAAGAGAATTTTCATCAAATCATTATTCAAACATGAAAAAATTGAGCTTCTGTTTTCCTCAACTATTAGCTTTATGTCAAAAATTATTGCCTCATGTAATTAACTGATTAAATTTGAGGTAGCATTTAGGGTCTGAAAGACAATGTGTTTCTGTTTTGGTTGAGGCTGGATAGAAAGTGGAGAAAATATAGTTGTATCTGTCAATAACCAGGTTTCACAAGCGGTGCCAGAGATGTAACAGCTTTTTGCCACTGAAAAGGGGGAGGTCTTGCTCCTGTTTGTCCTGCCCATCCCTTTTGCTGGTCTGGTGTTCATAAGATCCCTGTACAAGCCAATTCATTTCACTAACACAGCAGAAAGCTCAGAAAGCTCCTTTTTTGTTGTTAACTTTCTGCTGTGGTAGTTAGTTAAATTGGCTTACAGCAGATTCTGAGTGTTGGAGCTGTGTCCGAGGAAGGTGTTGGGAGTATAAGGGCTTGAATGGAAAGGTAGGGAAGTCCTTTTTTGGTGATGGTGAATGTTTAGGTTAGTTCTTGAGGAACTGTAACCTTAAATTTTTCTTACGTTTTGTCCAATAATTGATTTGATGATTGCTGTTTAAAGTAATTTGATTTCTAAGTGATGTTTGCTTTTTAAATAATTCCAAATGATAGCAGAGCCTTTAAATATGACATGAACAGTAGTGGTTTAATATCTTTGTTTTGATTCTTTCGTTTTTGTTTTAATGTCTTTCTGTGGCCAAAGATTCTGCAACTGCATATATGCCTGTTTAAATACTATGCATAGGCAAAGTCTTGTTAAAGTCCGCAAGAAATGAATTTTTAGATTTAGTGATAGTAATATTTCTGAACTCAGTTCTTTTATCAACATGTAATTCTTTTGACTAGTAATGATACCTGTAAAGACTTAAGTATATATCCTTTCTGAAATTTCATTCTGAGAACTCTGATTTCTTTACTAATGTATTGTGATGTTAGAATCTTAATGTGTTTTTGAAGACATAATTAAATTGAGTACTCAAACCATTATACAAAAAATGTGGTTTTAACTTTCAGTATTTTCAATTTGCTTGTAGGCAGAAGCCAGGCTTGCAGCCAAACGGGCAGCTCGAGCAGAAGCAAGAGATATACGGATGAGAGAGCTGGAGCGACAGCAAAAAGAGGTAGTGTAAATCATCAGGAATTATTGCAAACCTTTACTAAAATTCTTAATGTATTTTATTTCTCTACTTACACTGAAGGACAAAATCTGATGCAATTCAGCTGTGTGCCAGTACTTTCAGTGTCAGGCAACCATTAGCTTCTCTCCCCCCCATACCCTCCTCTTTCCCCTTAGGTTATATATCTAAAAGGATAATTTGCTTTGTATTTACCTGTGGATAACACCTCACAAAATACTAATCTGAACGTTAATTTTGAACTTCCTTAATAGTTACACTCACATTGTGGAAAAAATCTGCTATACAAAATATAGGGTATTAGCACTCTTACTTTCAAATGAAAAATACAACATTTTTAATGTGACTTCAAATTCTAGCTTTACAGGCAAAATTAGATGCTTGGATGTTTTACTTTTAACAAATGCAGTAAATTCAATCCTAGCAATCAAAATTGGAGAAAGATTAATCTAAAAGTTTATCTTCAGATATTTAAAGGGTTGAGGCTTTCTTATTACTGCTTATTTGATTTTAAATGAGTGGAAGAGAGAACATGATAGTATCCAGAACTCAGGCTTGCATAAATAATTTTGCATAGAGAGGAAGTTTTCAACTTCTAATGTGAAGTTTAATATTGTCTTGAATGGAAGATTTGAATTCCTAGACTTGTGGCTGAGTTAGCTGGTGACTTTTGTGCTTTTTGTAAGAATGATTACTTAACATATGTGGCAGTTTCTTTGCTTGTTGTTGCTGTGCAAAAGGTCCATGTAAATATGGATAACTGGCAGCACAGCATAAATAATAAACATGACTGTACCCAAAATGTACACTGCCTAATGTATAGAATAAACAACTATGAAAAAGTAGAGAGAATGATTTTGCTCTATTTCTAATGTATTTATAATATACTTAGTAATTGGATAATTTGGATATGTGACTCTGCACATGCAGTTTTCAGTCAATTTCTTCCCATATGGATTATACAGAAAGTGTTCACAATAAATACCTGTTGTCAGAGTCTTTATTTAAAAAAAATTAATAGAATTGGGATAATATTTAGACATACGGTTGTGTGTTGCTCCACACATTTCTCTGTATTTATAATATACTTAGTAATTGGATAATTTGGATATGTGACTCTGCACATGCAGTTTTCAGTCAATTTCTTCCCATATGGATTATACAGAAAGTGTTCACAATAAATACCTGTTGTCAGAGTCTTTATTTAAAAAAAATTAATAGAATTGGGATAATATTTAGACATACGGTTGTGTGTTGCTCCACACATTTCTCCCCAGGGATTTGGTTCAGAATTTGACATAGCATGCAAAAAATTTAGAATTTATTATTTATCAGCATTACATTCAAATCCATGTAAATGCTGACATTTGGGGTATTTCCTGTGGTAATAAGTACAACTTACAAAACATGTTTTTGCCTCAATTTTATATGGTTCTCATTATTCCATACCTTCAGTTTTCTAACTGCTGTAGGTATCTGATATTATGCTGATGATTACATGCCAATTAGGTTAGATTTTTCCAAATTTTTGATTTAGGAGTCCAGTCTGTGTGGTGACTAATCTATATTGTAAATGGTTTGTTTGTTTTTTACTTTCTGTAGTTTTCTCAGCATTCATATGATAGAAAATGGGCTCATATCCAGAAATGGATGGTAGGCTAAAATCACCTGTTGTGCATGTTTTTGCGACTCGGAGAACTAACATAAGATTTGGAGGCAGTAATTTACTAATGGTTTGCTGTGTGTCATTTCAAAGTGTTTTATTACTGAAAACAATTACATATAAACTATATATGGATGTGGATATGCAGGGTACTTCATGGCAGCAAAAGACAAAACTATGAAATGAGATGCTTTTCTTAAAATGAAATGTTTATTGTTTCCACCATGTGCTGGCTTAGTCATGAATCTATTTAAAATGAAATTACATTAGTTTCAATGTAGGTAAACATCTTTTTCAATAGTAAATGTTTTTATTTCAGTTAATTTCTGGGGTTTGGATTTTTTACTTTTTTCTTAGCAGACTTGCATTTATTTGTTTTCTCTGAGTAACATGGCAAATGCTCGTCTTTTCATTAATGATTAAGTCACTTCTATGACTTAGAAAAACTAACTGTAAAAGATTAAAAAAACCAAACTAACAGAAAAAAGCCCCACCCCCCCTAAAACCCCCATGCATCACTTGCATCTTTTTACCCCTTGCCCCTTGCTTTCAATTAATAATGATAAAATATTTGACTGTTCATTTATTTAGATTAAATCCACTAAGTAGGAAGGAGTAGAGATAGTTGAGTTACAATCTGAGAAAGCTGCTGTTCAATTTATACTAATTTAGTGCGGTTTCTTCAAAGAGTTCCTTTCACAAATTTCATGTACCACTTAAAGGCACATGGGAGATGTGAGTTTCTTTTTATGTTTTCAGGGAAGTGTTCACTGTGTGGATGTTTTGAATCAAGAAGATTTAAGTAATACACGCAGAGACTAACCATAATTTCAAATAGTTAAAATGACCATGACAGTTAATTGGCACTTCTGTTGAGAAATCCTAGAACTGTCATTAGAATTTTATTTGCAAAAGTTGTGCTGACTTTATATTGTCTCTTTGCCTAGCTGACATTTGTGTGTATATTAGTTCTTATGTCACTTATAAAGAACAACAGTTTCTGTTGTTTCTTGGTGGAATGCACATTTGAATGCTTTTTTGCTGGAGAGCAAGGGTTTCCAAACTGTGGAACACAGATTGCATTTGTGAGTAATCTCACTTTGAAATTAATGCCACCCAATTGAATGCCACCTTTTTTTTGTCCTCATAAGAGGAACATCTGCTGCAGGAGGTTTCTGAGCAGATGTGCACTCCTTTCCTGAATCAGGAGACCTAACCTCTGTCTTTGAAATATGTGCTTTATCTAACTAAAATTCTTAGAAGTCAAGCTTGATAGCTGCCAGCAGTAGCTATCTGTTTGCAATCTATACTGGAGTACTTACTTTATCTTTTGACCTAAATATGCTGAACACTTAACACTGGCATTCTATCTTCTGATTTTATGTCAGGAAGAGACTTGTTACCCTAAGTAAATTACCTACAGAAATGCATAGAAAATTGTATCAGAAGCTGAAGTTTTGCATTATAGGGGCATATTATTAGCTGGGGTGTACCTGCAATTAAGAGGAATCTTATATAAATAGCAAACTGTCTGCTTGCAAGCTGCAAATGTTATTAACAGATATTTGTCCATTTAGACCACAGGCACAAAGTATATTTAGAATTGGCAGTGATTTGACTATAATGTGTTGAAAAGTTATATAGCATAAATATTTATTTTAAACCTCAAACTAGACACTATAGAGAGGAAGACTAAAATGTCATTATGAAATTAACCTCTTCCCCTCCTGGGAAATTTTCTTGCAGAGTATTAACTAGGCCTCTTGAATAATCACAAAATAATAGTAAACAAGTTAATGTATCCATTGATAATGTAGAAAATAACCACGTGACCATAAGCAGTACGAAAGCCAGCTTTAGACTTTAGATATCCATCTATGATCTGGAGGCTGAGCTTTTAACTCTAAAGGTAACTGCCTTATGATCTTTAGAATAGTTTGCTCTATTGAAAACTGTAGAAAGTGAGTCATTTAAGGAAGGATTCCTAGTTTTAAAGCCCTGTTGTAGCCTTCAAATGGGATTGTTTAAAATTAAGCTTATTCTTAACATGCTTACCTACTGTAACGAAAAATTTGAGAAGCTTATGGCATGTGAAGCATTTTAATGTTTAATTTTAAATTAGTTGTATTTCTGTCCTGCTTCTCACATATTCCTTTGTGAGCCAAAATGAACATTCCCTGATCTTTCAACAGAACAAAAGATATTAAGGTGCCTTAGCTAGTTGTCCTCCCCCAAATTTTCTAAGTTGGGTTTATTATTATCACTGTCATTGTAGAGTGGACCTACCTATAGAACTTATAATTGATCAATTTGCTTAAGAAGCTTTGTTCCTATAATAGAGGAGAAAATCTGAAATATGTATGAGGAAGCTTAGAATGATCATATCTATTAGGGCTAAAATAACTTTGTAAAATGTTCATGATCTGACTGTAGTAATTATATAGTAAATTTCTTACTAATGTACTTGTAATTTTGTAAAGCTCTTATTTTTTATTTTTACTTTAATATCTTAATTTTAAAAATCTTGTACTTTTTTCTGCATTAATACAGTAATCAGAAGAAAGATTGACTACTGAACACTAATCATTAATTATATTGAACTCCCTTATTTACATCTCCTAATGTAGTATGTTGGCATACTTACCCAAATCAGGTGAAATCACAGTTCTTGTCTTGAATGAGTTCACTTGTCACAATGGATTATTCAAAATAATACATAGCATTAAAAGTGCTAACAGCATGTTGCTCACCTTTGCTTGCTTTTACTTTGTCATCTTTTTTTTTTCTATGCAATAACTCTGCATTTCTTCTTTCTCAGGAAGATTCAGAGAGGGCCAGGTATTCTCACCGGTCCAGTCAACATTCATATTTGGTTTGTGTTCAAACTGTATACGTTTCCTTTTCCATCATGGCCTTTGAAAAAAGTTTGGGTTTTGGTTTCGTTTTCTTAGGGAGCAGATGATGCTTTAAGTCTTCCAGGTATTAGGAGGTTTAGAGTCAGTATTTTAAGTCACATATAATGTTAAAGTTCATCTAGTATTTTATTTCCATCAATGTTACAAGGTAGTTTATTTTTATGTATTTCAATCTTTGCATTTAAAAAGAATCTCAATTGTCACATTTTAGTTCTTTGTGGTTTTTACTATAAATACCTCATGCTTTTTTTCCTCTACTACATATATTTATTTACAGTATATTTTCATTGCTGAAAATAGAGTAGGCATTTGGAAACTATTTGGAAATATATGTAGTTCAACAATCAATTACTTGGAAGAACATATTTAATGACAAGTTTTAAGTGTCATCTTTTAGTGTTATTCCAGTCTAATATGATTTATTTCTTTAAAAAGCTGAGTAATTGTATTCACTTAAGCTTCAGATATTGGCAACTAGTAAGAATTAATCGGCTTGTCTTGAAATGGTAGAGTATTAAGATTTCTACATAAGTTGTCAATTGTTTTATGATTACTACACATCAAATCTCTTCGTCAGATGTGAAGGTGCTGTTAGTGATCAAACACTGGTCTAGTTTAGATAAGTCTAAGGGGGGGGGGGGGGGGGGGGGGGAAATCTCTTTCCCATTTTCCCTGTCTCAGAAATTCTGCAAACAGGCAAATTTTATTTAATAAAGTAAATACTACTGCTTGCTTAGACTCATCCTGAATCAATGCCACTTACTGAAGATGAGTAATACTGATTTGTAACTCGGGCTTTCATTCCAAACTGATGCTGATGGTAGTCTGCTCACTGTTGTGCGTTTTCTTGCACTTTATTGTAGAAACACAATAATATTTATTTGTGGAAGAAAAAGTAGTAGTACCTTAGGATACAATTTGAAAGAGTTTGGTATGATGCAGGGTTTTATTTCTTTGAGAATATGGGGATGTATTATTCATTAGTGGCAAAGACTTACCTGAATGATGCAAGGTATCCCAAAGACTGCTAATATGTTGTGGGTTTTCTTGCACTTTATTGTAGAAACACAATAATATTTATTTGTGGAAGAAAAAGTAGTAGTACCTTAGGATACAATTTGAAAGAGTTTGGTATGATGCAGGGTTTTATTTCTTTGAGAATATGGGGATGTATTATTCATTAGTGGCAAAGACTTACCTGAATGATGCAAGGTATCCCAAAGACTGCTAATAGGAGTATTATTGTATAGGCTCTCCTATATCCTCTTTAGGTCATATACGGTGCTAAAGAATGGTTTTATTGAGGGTTTATAAACATTTTCCTGGTTTTGGTAGATCTGTCTAGAAATCAGCTTGTCATTGATCTGGATATATAAGCCAGGAGAGGGACAAATTACTAAAATAAAAGGGTTAGTTTTGTTTATTTTGGAAGGTGCAATAAGCTGTTTCTTTGTGTGACTTCAAAAAAAGAAAGTGATTGTCACTAAGAGGTTTCAGCTATTAAATGTAATCTTTGATTAACTGAATTTTGTGTAATGTCTTGCAAGTCCTGGTGTTAAGTAAGTGTTTCTGCAATTTATCACACATTTTTACCAAATAAATTGTTTAAATCGGGTAGTGTTGACTACTTTGCAAACAGTAAATGGTTTACAGAAAAAGCATGTACAATATGCTGTGTGGCAACACTTACAAACTTGTGAGCTGGTACAGATTTGCTCAGATCTGCTCTTGCCTTGGTTAACCTATAAAATATGCTAAGACGGAGATTAAGTAATTTACCCTTGACTAAAGAATAGGGCTTGAACTCAGCAGATAACTGAGCTCATCTTTGGGGGGGCTTACCCAGAACTTCTTTGACTGCCTCGCTTATTTTGTGCCTTTCAGTGAAGATTAACAGTTATCATTAGAGCTTTTTAAAATTATTTTATATATTGATACATTTTTTACAATTTCATTCTTAAGAGTTCTTTGGATGTCAGTGCATCTCACAGGAGCAGACCAAGTACCTCCAGAAGGAGAGATCTTGTGGTGTGTAGCCTGGAATGAGCATGCTTTGTGTTCACATTATAATGTTTTCTGTGTCTACTTACTAAAGCAGTAGTTTGGTGAAAGCATGCTTCTTTATAGAAAATGTTATTAATTGGACTGCTCTAATGATTGATGTAATCAAACACTTTGTGATAGCAAGTTTGAGGGCTCAAAGAAAGTGTTAAGTGTTCTGTCTTGAAGATAACTTCAAGTTTGAAGGGGGTTAGTCTCTCCAGTCTCTCTTCTAATGTCCTCAAAAAAGAAGTAAAATAAAGTGGCAAAGGTTGCGCATCAGCCTTGATAGGTACAAAGATGTTGCTAAGTTATGGCAGGAAACCTTTTTTCTCAATTATGTTGCAATGTTAGTCCTTCAGTCAAGGTTGGAATACAAACAAATTTTACTTTTTCAGAAATAGGTATTTCTGTATATTTTTGTGGTATTCAACTTAAATATTTGTTAGTAGACTGTTAAGCTGTCAACTTATACCTTTACTTAACTGTTAAGTGTTGTGATGATAGTGATTATCTGAGTGATCTGTCTCCATTCTGATAGCAAGGTTGCTTATCGGTAGGTAATAATTAAAGATAAAAACTGTTTTAAAAAAAAATCAGTTAAGTTGATTAAAACTGGTACAGTGTCCTATGGGTCCTGTACGGTAATACTTTTAGCAACACAAAAAGGTACCATAGTCTGTAAATTACATTAATAAATTATTTTTAATATAGTATGAATATTGGATATATTTAAAACTACTGAGATAATATGAAAACAGTATGAAATAATATGAACTAAACCTGGCCTATATTATAAACAAATATAAAATCTAAAACCACAATTTTTTTGTTAATTTGATCTCTAGAAGGAATTTTCAGATATATCAATAGACAAGAAGAAATTATTTTTCTTGTAATCCTCTCAGTAGTTCTCATGTTGAAAACTACACTGGGTAATACTCTAGCATGCTATTAGTATATCATGTAATGTTCTCAAACTACCTTCAATTTCTGTTTTGTTTTCTTTTTTAAGCTTAGGATGATACTAAGTAACATTTTGGATTGTGCATTACCTACAGTCAGAATAGCTAAGTTATACCTGTGAAATTTTAAATGAACTGGAAAAACACAAGCTTGCTTTGAAAACTTAAGATTGCTATGTTAAAAAAAAAAAAAGAAAAAAGTATAAACTCCACAAATTTTGCCATTCTTGAGTGACAAGAAACATGGGGACACTGGCTAAACTATTATTACAAAGCTGTAAATGAAAACATAAGTGGTTTTGAAAATGTTTAGTGTTGTTGCGAGTTGCCAAATCTGGTAGACCAGCAGTCTCTTTACACACAGGTGGCCCTTTCATCCCACTATTCTTCCTTTTTCACACAGTTGCTCCTTCTGAAAACACCTTTAGCCCTCCCTTTCTCCACCTTTGATTCCTCCCCTGATCCCAAGATGCTGTTCCCCTGCATCCCGTAATGTCTTCCATGCCCTGTAGGCAGTAACCTCCCTCAGTCTGTAAGGTGCCCTGGAGAGCCCCCACATTGTGATGGGTTTCACACCTCGACAGTGGGGCTGACTGATGGTCCTCTGGACTCCTTTGCCTGTGTGGAGATGAGACTTTTATCACATAACCTAACAAATACTGTCTCAGTTTAACACAAGCTACTGTATGAGACTTTGCTTAATTACTTAAAATTCTATTACCAAAACCACATGAAATATTTCATATAACCTACTGCTGTCCAAAATTATCTCACTTTTCAGAAATTGGGATGCTGTTGGGGGGGGGAATAGCTTTTATTAAAAAGTGTTCCGGCCTCAGAATGCCCTTTACATTGAATAAACAGCATTCCTTCATATCTAAATTTTCATAATTAGTAGAATATGTTTTCTTTTAATTTCCTTTAAGTCTTTTTAGACTTAATTTAAGCTAATTTTTATCTCTTGTTTTTTATTTCATGATTTTAATTTCATTTTCTTTTACTTCAGTATGACAGTGCTAAGGATAGATCTACAAGATACTCGGTCCCTGTATGTTAACACTTTGCATGTCTTTGAGTGAAGACTGCTTTTGTGCTTTGTTATTAAGGTGTAATGACACTAACTTGCTACTTTATTGATTTAAAAAAATAGATAAATTTGTACTATCATACTTTCAGACCTAGAATAGCAGTACGATTCTAATGCTTTCCATAGAATGCATGTATAAACTTTCTCTGGGAGAAAATCTAATGAAGTCGCATATTACAGACAGCTGTCTATAGTAAGCACTTTTTAGTATTTATGTTATTTCTAAACTTTGTAGTGAAGTGACATATACAGATTAGACTTGGAAGACATACTTTTTTAAAAAGTGTGTGTATACATATATTTGTATTCTCCATTTCCATATAGAAACTTTAACTTAAATCTAATGGAAAATTATTTCAGTCCTGAGAAAAAGCAGATGGTTTGTATACCTTTACTTAAAAAAAATTCCTTCTTATTGTTATGAAATGATAGTAGAGTGCATCACATCCTCGTTGGTATTACACCAAGTAAGATTTGTGTTTGTCTCCTTAGGCAAAGAAAAGCACCAAGTACCACTAAAAGGAACATGCAAGCAGCTTACAAAGCTGAATTTGTTTCAACAACAGTGTTATCTGAATTAGCTACAGATAGGCAACCACAACATAGTGCTTAAAATAGTCTGTAATGTTAAGCTTTTTTAGTTTGTTTATTGGTTTTACATTTTTTTTGTGAAATGGCTTAAGCCAAGTCTGTATTAATCAGAGATAAGGTTGGTTATAGTTTCACTTATCAGTTCTCTTTTTACTCAGCGATAGAAGTATGGCCTATTATTCTTACCATGTAACTAGAATTTTCTGTGGTGTTTCCGTTGTAGGTGATAAATATCTTAAATTCTTATGTTTGACTTCTTCATATTTTAAGATTGAAGATGCTGTTATATAGTCGTATTAATTTTCTAAATTTTATTCTTAGAGTCATGCTTACAGTGAATCTCATAGTTCAAAGAAGAAAGCTGCTTATTCCCGTAAAGATTTATTGGTTAGTTTTCTACTATGATATTTATTATAAATATACTGTGTAGAGTTACATACTAATACAGTTATGGATAAATTTACTAGCTTTCTGACGTATGCATAAATGTTTTCAGGAAAAAAGAAACCTCTAGCATTGACCAAATTCTGACCTGAAGTTGTGTTTGAAACTGTGCTCATGGCAGTGGAATCCCATGAATGGAATCAGCTAAATAGAAATCATGTTCTGTTGGAGGCCTGTGGAAGGCTCTTGGAAATATTTAAAAGTGGCACTTCTCTGTGTTAAAGTTTATTCAGTCAGGATGGAGATATGTGCTCTATTATTTACACTTTGTCCCCAATCAGTTAGATATATTTTAAATGTAGATGTAAAGCAGATTGAATTTACCATAAGCCTTGACGTTAACCCACTGAACTGTTGAGAAAGGCATGTGGATTTATTGTGATCTTCCAAAAACTGTTCTAGAAAGTTCAGTGTGTAACATGTGAATATAGTGCCAAGAAATGCTGTATTTTTGATGTAATTTTTCATAGGGATTTGGCACTGATGAAATAGCAGTTGCATCGAGGGTTGGGGGAGTTAGAGCAGCAGTGGACACCTGTGTTGAGACAAGGCTGAAATAATTTTTATATTTACTTATTACTTGTATTATAGCATTTCTCTGTGCACTTTTGAGGTGCTATTTTCCTGTTCCCTCAGTTCTTAAATGAGTAATACAAATCTTTCTGCCTCCTATGGCCTATTGAGATAGAAAGTGCTACTTTCTGAAAGCACTGCTTTTTGCCACATCTTCATCTCCGTTTTCCTTCTTTATATGTGTATATCACATTTTTCCTCACATACAAATATATATGCAATCTGTGTAGGAAGTGTCAAAAAATAACAGAAATAAGCCAAAGTATAATTGCTAGGCTTTCAGCATGGGCACTTGGTGTAAAGAACAGTGGTAGGATACAGACTAATGCTGATCATGTAAACATCCATCCCCTATTAAACTCTCTGGAATTTCTGTCCTTTTTCTCTCCCCAAATGCTCTGATTGAGGATGGTATCTAATGGAAGAGAAGAGCAAGCAAGTCATTGTACTAATTACTAGAAAGTCTTGTCAAATATGTTTTTCATTTATTTCATGCTGCACTTGTCAGGGTTTAGATAAACTTTTCAGGGTTTTCTTATTTATTAGGGAGAAAAGCCAAAACTATTTACTCCTTTGGTTGGGCAGGACATTAAAATACAGGTAATGCTGATATACAGAGTACATAAGTAGGTTTGGGTTTTTTGCACTTGCTTCAGAAAGTTACATGGATTTTGAGTTAACCGTAGGGAAAATTTTTATGTTCTGTACAAGTTCTAAGCTTGGGAACATTTGGGCAATGTCAAGATAGAACTTTTATTTACAAGATCTACAGATGTGACCTTTGTTTTCTCTCTTCTTTTTTCCTCCCACAGAGTGGAATTTACTATGATCAAAGAAATTATAGCAGCCTTAGATATAGTAAACCAGTTCCTTCCTACCATACTCGGGTCTGTCTCGTCTTCCTATATTAATTTTTTAATGTATATAAAATACATATATTTGGTTTTGCTTACTTATGCTATAAGAAGCAAACTTTTCTCTCTTTCCTTCTGTAACACTGCAAATTATTACAGCTAATACTAGTTACAATTGTATTTCTTGCTTTTAAGGGTTGCCTTTTATAAAATGAATGGTTAACATGCAAGTTACTGTGTTCTGCATATGTGGGGTTTTAAATTTAAAATAGCTTCTGTTTCATGATTGCTGTATGATATAAAGAAAACAACTAGCAGCTGTGACACTTGCTTTTTCAAAGTCCTGTTTTTAAAAAGCAACAACAAAAAGTCTTAAGTTTAGTGCCAACGTACTACTTTCTTCTACAGTAAAATAAATGATAAATCAGTGGTCTGTTGTGAGATGGGTAGTATATTCCAGTACCTGCAGCTACTGTCATGGTCAGGTTTAAATAAGTAGCTAGAGGAAATTGACGTGTCTTTTGAAAATTACTTAATTTCTTATCATTCTCTTCTACAAATCTTCTGATAAAAATACTAGATTGCTTTAATGTTTTAGATTATGATTTCAAAGATAATGGGTTTTCTTGGAATGTTTATCCACACCTTTCTTGAAGTTCCTGTCTATTATAGACGTAAAATTTAGTATTTCAATCTTTCAGAACTCTTGGGGAATACAGAGCAATAGGTAAAAAAATTAATGTACGCAGAAAAAGTGTTTCTGACTTTTCCTATTCTTCACACTACAGTCGTCTTCTCTATACAGTGATCCAGTGGCAACAACTAGGAGTTACAGGGTTAGTACAATGTAAAGTAATATCTTACTTATCTTTTAGATGTTTGAATGGCATTCAGAAATATAAAATTACACTTTGCTTCATAGGTGTCTCCTTCTGTAAACACTGGTTTGATAAGAAGTATCAGTTTGGTTCGTAAGCACCATTTGCATGGTTGCCTTAAATTTGTATTGTACGGCCATGAGGCTTGACAGTATTTCATGTGCATTTTTTTTCATATTTTTAATAAAGCTGCAGCCTGTGTGTGTCATTTTGTGGAGGCATTCAGTTTAATGTTTTTAACATTGCTAAATTGCCTCTTTATTTTAGTAGTTGCTGTTTTAGTGATCTTTTTACAGACGAGCATAAAATTTATGAATACAACAATGATGTTGAAGAACACTGGGGTTAGAACCAGTTAATCCAAGCATACTAAATAACAACTGCATGTATAATACTAAAAAAAGTATTTAAAGAAGTTAAGCTAAGTATTTGAACGTGAAAAATGGTTGTCAGGAGATTACAGAAATTTGTTGTAAATACACTTTAAATACTTTCAAATAAGATGCCATATGTAAATGTAATAGTCATACAAAAACGTAATAAGATGAAAATCTAATCTGCATCTTTACAAAATAAAAAGTAGCTAGAAGTGCCATAAGAATGGCTAAGCTCTACAAAAAGTTGTTGTCTTTAAAAAGTGACATGCATGCCTGAAACTTCATGCCTTTTGCTGCTACAACAGTTGAAATCCAACTTATACTGCCATTTAGAGTCATGCTAAACCTATGTATGTAAATCGTCAAGTATTCTTACGTAATATTTTTATGTAGTTAGTGAGGTCTTGTTCTGCACTTGGATTGCAAACAGATAACTTTTTTGGCTTTGTGCATAGTCTCCAGAAAACTAGAAGATCCAGTGAGAGAACGAGACCATTATAACTGCTATTACATATAATTCTAATATACATATTCTAATTTTTGCTAGAGATCTCTTATAGGTAGGGGGAAAGCAGCATGAGACTGTGGTTTGGGTTTTTTATTGTGTTGCCCAGAGCTGCTTTTATTATCCACTGCATAAATAGATTTCAGCCTTGCACCTTAGAATCATGGAATCATTTAGGTTGGAAAAGACCTTTAAGATCGAGTCCAACCGTAACACATTCTCCTTTTCAGGAAAACTTGTGTGGGTGAGCACAAAGTAAAACTGACAAGTATACAATATAGCTTCAGTTCCCAGGGTGGATTAAAACTTGTGAAGGCTTCAGAACAGTGAAAACCAAATTGCAATTTAAATATTTAATTTAATTTTCTTCTGAAAATAGTTAAGATTTGATAGTTTTTTAAAACTATTTGGCTATTTTTCAAGGAAATTCTTAGATTTATATTTGGAAAGAGACAACCCTAATAGTAGGAGGAAATGCTGCTGGAAATTTTTAAAAATTGTTCATTCTTTCAGAAAGTATGGTGTTAACTGGAAAATGCATAGATGGGGTAAGATAGAGTACAGTGTGTAAGAATTACAGTGTATAAGTGTGGCATAATTATTTCTGAGACTGAATATAAACGATGTTTCATTCCCTCTTTCTCAGGCATCTTTGTGTGGTGATGGATTACATAGCTCATATAGTTCTCGCACTGTAAGTGTAATAGGCTTTTGGTTGTTTCTTTTATTATCTTTGTTTTCTGGAGACAAAAATGTGAAAATTGTGAAAATTTCCTTCATAACTTTTCTTTAGCCGTCTGAATACAGTTATTCTTCAAGAGCAAGCTCAGTTCGAAGTAGTCCCGTGGTGAGCATTCCTCTTGCATGATTTGCTGAATGCTTTGATACTAACGCACAATAATTATGAGTATTTACACTGGGGATCATTTTACTGACCAACACAGACTTGATTTTTCAATTCTGCATCAAAAAAAAAAGTAATTTGTCAGAGATGTGATTTTTAGCAAGATGTAAAGTTTTAGCAGGAAGACAGTAAAGTGTAGAAGCAATAAGGAATTTGCTTTTCTAAACATCTTTTAAATGTTTGTAATGTATATAATTGGAAGCAATTGGAAACTGGAGTATAGTACGTTGTTGGAGTTACCACCTTATGTCACAATTACATGGCAGTAACATGAAACTGTTACTACAATACGTCTGAAGAAGTCTTTCTTTTTGGGAAGAGGACTAATGCAAACTTTGTTATATCATGCAGTAAGAAGTAGCTAGCTCATTTTTATGGTGACCAGTATTCAAAACTGAGAGAAATTTGTTCCTGGATCTGTATTGTGTTAAAAGGGTCATTCCAAAGATGGCTTTTCGTGCTGCAAAGTGATTTTAAACAGTTCTACACTTTTTCTGCTGCAGAACAACTGTCTCAGTTTCATTGGTACAGCTGCTCATTTGTCATGCTACACAGAAAAGTAGATCGGTGTTCTGGTATAGGTTAAATTGAAATGTTCTGTCCTGTTTTCATTTTTCACATATTCTTAAAAATGTTAGCGACTAAACAAAACAGACTTGTCAGGGACTGGATGTTTTTAGCTACAAAAGATGTCAGAGTGAGTTTTTGAGGATGTAGGAAAAAGGGGATTTTGCTGTTGCTTTATGACGTTTCAAAACCGAAGAGGTATTAACATCCATCTCTAAAGTCTCTTGAGCTGTGAAAATACTACTTGTCTCCTTAGTTTCTCTTAACATTAAGATACATTTCTTAAAAGTATATACTTTATACGTATATAGGATTACATATATCAGATCTCAGTGTATATATATGTGATACCAATAATGCCAAGGTCCAAGGTACCATTCACTCACACTAGTGAATGAGTTCAAAGTATTTGATGAAATAATTCTGAAAAGGGTTTTGAGCAGATGAAGTAAAAATCTTTTTCATAAGTTAACTTTCACTTTCTACTGTTTCTATGGTTAATATTTTGGTTTCACTCTGGGTAGTGCATTGGAAGTCAGCTCAGTAGTCACTGGAAATCGAAGGAGAAAGTGGGAGAGAAGATGGAAACAGTAGAAAACACTGGTGAAAAACTGCATGGTGCATCTCCATCTCAAACTGTATCGGTTTTGATAAACCCGTTAAGAAAGATATTAGAAATGCAAAAGGTACAGAAGGAGGAACAGTAAGGTTTCAGATATATGGACTTTTCAACAGCAAAGATAAGTTGGTTTTGAATGAAAAGAGCGCAGTGTTGTCATAGATTGATTGTAGCCCTTGAGTTGTTTGTTCTTTTGCTGTAAGCATAATTTATATAAGCAGAATTCTGTTCAGCATCTTTATACTTTGAAATGCAAATGAAATAAGAAAGTTTAGCCAATGTTGTGAAAATTTATTTAATTTGTCATTTTTTAAAAAATAAAGGTAGTATTTAAAATATAGATATAGTTATAGCTGGAAAATTCTTTGTCAGAACATAACTAAGCAGTGACAAAAAACACAAATTCTGTAGTCCTAAGCATGCATAATCTGAGACAGGCATTCATCAGCAAACTGTTTTATATGTAACTGGTCATGTTTGCATAAAAAAATCTCACTATCTTCTAATCGGGATAAGATGAGGCTACATCACTCGTACCTCAAGTACAAAGAAACTAAGAATTATTTTTTACAATGGTGAAAATGGGGTAAGGACAATATATTTTTAAACTGTTCATTTAAAGATTTTTCTTTCACATAATAACTTTTAAAACTAAATATAATATTCACAGTAAATTTCTGCCTTTTGAAGTGGAATGTTATCAATACAACACTCAATAAACCTACTCTTCTCATTAAATACTATGTTTAACATGCATTTTTCTCAGTTAAATATTTCACTTGAATTCCCATGGCATTGTAATGACTGTAATGTGGTTAGATATATGTTGCCTTTTTTAGCAGTCATGTGTAGAATAACATTTTTTCTTCACCTTTTTAGGTGCCTGTCTGACATATAGCTTTGGGGAGTAAGCTTGTCTTCTATTGTAAGGCCTCTTAAAATTTTGAATGAGAGGAGGCCCAGATCATATTCATAATTAGTAGTGTTGGGATTGTGTTGATTTGAAGAAAAGACATTTGTAGAGAAAAATAACTTTTATTTACCAACTTATGATTATATAATCTGGTTTTATGATCTACAAACCTTTTTTAAAAAAGGTAATTTTTGTAACTGTTTGGCACTATATTAGTACTAAGCCTTTTTGTATCTCTGTATTTTTTATATTACTCCAAATGAGGAAAATAAATCAATAATAAATGTTCATTGTTTTTAGTTTTAGATACTGTAAACTATAAGAATAATAAACATGTGAAGAGAGTGTTTAAGAACAATGCATATGCTGACTAAAGTATTCATATCAGTGTGGCACACATCTTATTCATGTAGACACATTTAAAATAGCAAAAATCTAAGAGAGTAAGATTTTCCAACTGTTAAACTGTTGGAAAAGCTAGAATAAATTGCAATAATGGAGATTTAAGTTAGGATTTCCTGTTTGTTCTTTTTAAATAAACTTCTGTTCATTCTGTGGTATCATCTTCAATTCTCTTTCACCCTTCTCCTTATCTTTTGAAGTCCTCTGATTTTTCTGATCAAAGTGAAACTGCTGCTGACTATTTTAGTCGTTCCAACCGCAGGGGAAGCATTGTTTCCGATGCAGATGATGTCCAAGGTTTGAATAGTGTGAGTGTAATGCTTCTTGTTATACTGTGGTGAATACAGCAAACTTACTAACTATGGATTTTCTTTTCATACTCTGAAAGAGTAAATACTGTAAAAGCGTTCAGAGTTACTTAACGGCAAATAGGTTTGAGGGATTGGGGTTGTTTTTTGTAGGGGATTTTGCCTGTTGCTAGAAGCATGTGACAAGTGTTAACACCTTGCATTTTTTGTGTGTGATAAGCTTAAGCATCTCTTCAATGTAAAATGTTGGGTTTTTTTCTTGTGGGAATTACACAGGATCACCTAGACATTGTTATTTTTGGAATACTACTACTTGGTTGGGGGGGGGGAGAAATACTTAAAACTGTGCCCTTATTAGTGCATTTTTAGTGTTCATTCATCCCAGATGAGATTTTGTCAAGATCCATTACTGGAGCACTCATTGTTGGCTATGCTCTTACACTGAATTCCAAGTCAATAGAGCACATTACAGGAAAATTATGACTGTTTTCTTGTGCATCCCTTTAGTCTGAACATTGTTTACGAGAAACCTAGCTGCCTTCTCTTCATTGCTGCTATAGGTTCTAGAAGCTGTTGTTACTTGCAGTCAAAACTTGTGTTTAATAGTGGAAAAAATAGGGAAATTTCTGTTCTTAGGCATGTCTTTGAAATAACAGTGTTGGCACATGCAGTAGGAGGAGAGGTTGAGAGAACTGGGCTTGTTTAGTTGGGCAAAGGGGATGCTACGTGGTGATCAGCAGCCTGCAACTGCTTGATTAGGTAAGAGCCAAACTCTTCATACCCGTGCCAAGCAGTGCAACAAGGGGCAGCAGCCTCACGCTGCAGCTTAGGAGGTTCAGATGAGCCACTGCAAGAAGCTCCAGAAGGCAGTTAGTGTTGCACTCTTGACAGGTTACAGCTAAGGCTGGAGAACCTCCATCCTCAGGAGCTGGTGAGACTTAGCTAGATAAAGCCACAGCTAACCTGGACTGTTGGCAGCAGTTCTGCTTTGGAAGGGAGGTTGGACTAGGTGACTGCTAGAGTACCCTTACAACCACTGTTTCTATGATTCTGCATTTAGATGACTTTAATCTTATAGTGCGATGTAACTTGTATTGTAATAATGCACGGTATTTATCATCTGTACATGCTCAAAGCATGACATAGACCAGTCATTTCTCTGGTTTAAATTTTAGCTTTCTTTTTCTTCTCTAATAAAGCTGCTTTTCTGAAATTAATGCTCTGCTAAAAGAAAATGTGGAGGCTGAGACTGGCAATTATGCTACCTTCTCCGTTGCTTTTATCATCATTATTATGTATTATTAGATTCCAAAATTACGTTTTTATTTAAGTTATTCTAAATTGATACTTCAGATCAATTGGATTCTTAACATCATTTTACTGTCAAGTGGTGACAAATATTTGCACCTTACAATTTCAGTACATCATTGGAGATGATGAATTTGCCATGAAAATACAATGTTGCTTCTGTAGAAACCACAATAGAAGGAAAAAAGAAAGATCTCAAAGTAGCATTTGTTTCTAGTGTGATTATAGACTTCCAAATCTCTAGTCCCTGGGCTGGGAGAAAAACAGGTGTTTTTGGAGAAGCCAGATATTTGAGATACCATACTTAATGTATCATACTTGTTTTAGGAAGTATGGCAACATGTTAATGTCTTCATTTAATTCCACCTATTTTGATTCGTAGAAATGTAGAAAATATGGAAATCTACATTATAAGTTTGCAATATCAGAGTTTCCTAGATAAGAAGCGGGGTGGTAGTTCTTTTGCTTAGGCTTCAATATGTAAAATATGAATTGAAATTATTTTGTAGGTTGCTGTTAATTAGTACACTTTAGTTATGGGCTTTTACCTGAATTGGTGTTGTCCTGATGTAATTGCAGGTTTCACTGAAGAGACTGAAGGAACAAATGTGTTTTCTAATAACTAGGACATTGACTGGTGTGTCTGAAGTGCACGTGCATGAAGCTTCGTGTTTGTTACGCCACCAAGTGTTGTAGTCACTACCCTGTTGAAATTAAAAGTAGTGAAATGTGTTTTGTTGATCAGTACTTTAATATTGGTAATGACTTTTTAAAAACTTTTTTTAAAGTTTCTGGTTTTACAAGCATTCATTTATTTTGCAGTTGAGGTAAAAACTACTTTTTCAGGCTGAGTATTTTTTCTTGTCTTGATCTATGCTAACTTCTGGAATTTCTTTTTTTATTATTATTTCATTTTTCGTTCCTAAATATTTCTTGGTATTTTTGAACAGAAGATGGTGACTCAGTAGTCCCTCATTGCAAAAGGTGTATTGTGATCACTTTCCCTTTTCTCTTTCAGCTGGAAGAAAAGAGTGAAAAATCACATTCAAAAATATTTTTTCTTGTCTTGATCTATGCTAACTTCTGGAATTTCTTTTTTTATTATTATTTCATTTTTCGTTCCTAAATATTTCTTGGTATTTTTGAACAGAAGATGGTGACTCAGTAGTCCCTCATTGCAAAAGGTGTATTGTGATCACTTTCCCTTTTCTCTTTCAGCTGGAAGAAAAGAGTGAAAAATCACATTCAAAAATATTTTCAA